GCTTGCCAGGGAAGTGCTTATTCCACTGAGCCATCTCCCCAACTTATTATTTTTTTTTAAACTGGAGTTTCGGAGCCAGGGAGATGGCTCAGTAGAGTAAGCGCTTCCCTGGCAAGCGCAAGGGCCTGAGTTCAATCCCTGGTTCCGCCATAACCAAAACCAAACAAACTGGAGTTTCATGATGCTGCCCATCATGATGTTACCCCTTGTATTCCTTGGCTCAAGCAGGTCTCCTGTCTCAGCCTTCTAATAGATAGGACTACAGGCACATGCTGCTGTTCTCCTAGTGATCCGCCTGTTCATAGCCTCTCAAGAGCTGGGAATATGGGTGTGCGCTACCATGCCCAGTCTCAGTTGCATCTCACCGTGTCCCGGGGGCTGGGCTGGCACGGCAGGCCGGGGGATGGAACCCCTGGCCCCGAGCACTTACTTGCAGGTGCTTTAATCCCCTGAGTATTTGGCTGGCCCTCCCACGTTTACTTTCGTGATCTTGTCACTGATCAGCTTTTTTTTTTTTTTTTGTCAGAACTGGGGATTGAACTCAGATCCTAGTGTTTGCCAGTCAAGCGCTTATCCTACTGAGCCATCTCCCCGGCCCCTCTGATCAGCATATTAATCAGCACAATAATGGTCGTATCGCTCAGTGTGTGTAGCAGTCACAACCCGGCAGAGTACAGCTCTGTCAGCAGCTCTGGGCTTTGAGTGCCAGTGGCTCCAGCGTCAGAGTTACAGCTCTTGGCAGCTCCTGGCCACCCCCTCAGCCCTTTTGCGGCTGAAGCTCATAGTCCCCTCCGGCAGCTTTCTGGAGCTCTCCCAGGTCTGCCGCCTCTCTGGCTTTTTCCACTGGTCTCTGCCACTCACTGTCAGTCGATGCCCATCACTGCGGTTGGTCAGTGCTGCTTGTCACCAGTCAGCTGGTGGACACTGCCCATCTCTGATGTTCTCTGCCATCAGTTTGCTCCAGTCTTCATGGACTGCGGCTGGTCCTTGGAGCTCTTCAGGGATAGCAGCCCCTAGTGTGCACAGCTCTTTTTACTGTGCCCTGCTCTGATCACAGTGCCTGGGATCCAAATGGCAAGTAGGTTTACAGGACCACTGCAGTGAGCTTTTCTGGGACCCGTGCTGCAGCACAGGGCGGTAGTGTGGGGGAGGGAGGCCCCCCAGGGATCTGAGGGCTGGAAGCCAGAGCTGCTCTGCTGGGCCACGCATGCACATGCGCAGCTCTGTTTCCCAGACCTGAGAAACTACCCAGTAACACTAGAGGGGACAGAGTTATCAGGTTACAGGGCAGAGTCGTCCGCAGTGGTCACGGAGCACAGTCATCTGGGATTGGTTTGAGTTTCAAATCTACCTTGGCCAGGGCTGTTATCTGCTGGGGTCTCTAAGGCTGTCTGGGATAGCCACGGCTGTCTTGGTGACAGCTCAGGGAACACAGGTGCTTTATTGATGATGAACAGGGGCCTGAAATGATAATTGCCAGGGCTTTTGAGGGGTCCTGAGCAGAGGTGGCCATGTCAGTTCATGGCCCACTGCAGTTTAGCGATCTTAGGGATACGGAAATGGGCCCCGGTCCCTTCCCAAACTTGGCCTGTCAGGTGTGGCTTTCTTGCCACTCTTTGCAGAGGTGCCTGCAGCATGGAGTGGCAGCAGCAGGGGAGGGGCCTTGTGGCTGTCAGCTGAGCTGTGGCTCCTCTCAGGGCATCCAGGACAGTAGCTGAAAAGTAACCCAATGTGTCAGGAAGTCCCCGGAGCCAGGGATGGTGAGTGATGGGAAAAGAGTGTGACAGCTGTCAGTTGGGTCATACCCCCTTCTGGCTGTCAGTGGGAAAAGGGAATTTCCAGGCTTTGTTTCTGTTTCAATTTTATTTCCTATCTCTGTTTATTAATAGCTGTATTTTTTCTTTTCTTTCTTTTTTGGTATGGGGATTGAGCCTAGTTTCTTCACACTGAGGTAAACCCCCAGCCATTTATTTAAAATTTTAAGACAAGGTCTTTTTTTTTTTTTTAATTTTTATTTATTTATTTGTGGTACCGGGGATTGAACTCAGGATCTTGCACTTGCCAGGGAAGCGCTTATTCTATTGAGCCATCTCCCCGTCCCAACAAGGTCTTACTGAGTTACTAAATTGCCTAGGGTGGCCTGGGATTTTGTGATCCTCCTGCTTCAGCCTCCCAGAGTGCTAGGATTGCAGGTGGGTGCCACCATCCCCAGATTTTTTTTTTTTTATAATTTTCAGCCAAATCAAATCATTTCCAACCGCAGTATCATTGTATCTGTCGCTCCATCAGCCTGCAGGTCTCTTCCCTCAGATTTCCCCAGGACACAACTTGCTCTCTTAGCTTCATTCAGTCTCTATTTAGGTGTCAGAGTGGCCTTTGTTTTTTTCTGTTCTTTTTAGTACAGGGTCTACAGGGTCTCACTCCAGAGATTGGATTCATAGTGATTCTCCAGTTTTCAGCCTCCCAAGTTCTAGGATTACAGGCACGTGCCACCACGTCTCAGTGCGCCCCAGGGGTGGGGCTGGCATGGCATGCTGGGGATTGAACCCTGCTTCTGCCTAAGCAAGTGCTTTAATCTGCTGAGCTAGCTGGCCTGCCTGCTTTTATGTATTTGGTACAAAGTCTCACTACACAGCCTAGACTCGTAGTGATCCTCCTGTTTTCAGCCTCCCCAGTGGTGACGTTATAGGTGTGCGCCTGTAGGAGACACTTCCAGGTCCTCCTCTTAGTCCAAGAAGCCAATATTTGTAATCCCAAAATTACATTATTGGAATCGCATCAAATTGATTCCAATCTACCACTTACAATGCAACCCACGGCGAAAATAAAGACACTCAATTATATCTTCAGTCATCGGGGAGTCAAGGGGCTCTAAGTCCAGCCATGAAGATGGCTTTCTGGAACCAAGAGAGCAACCCAGGGCCTCACCCAGTTTTATTCAATAGGGGAGTGGCTTGAGGATTGACTGAGAACTGTGGGAAAGACTACTATGAGCTGAGCTAGGTGGGTGGCCTCAATTTACCTCTGTGATATGCAGAGAGGATATGCAGAGAGAGTAATCTGCATTATATAGTATGTAACGTTTTGGGAAGTCTGGTGCTTCAGCTTTGGTGCAGTCTTTCAAGCCCCGGGAAGTCATGGCCTCTGTCTCTAGGCTCCATCCCAGCTGGCGCCGGAGAATTAGCTCTATCGTCCTGCCTCAACCCGGCTCACATTAAAGAGCAGCAGGTATAGGTTACCAGGGAAACACGCACGCCACCTTCAAAGACGATCACCAGCACCTCAGCTAGACCAATACACATTGCGTAAGGCCAACTGAAGGATAAAGAGAAGTCCCAGCCAGCTCTGTACAGAACAATACGAAGAAATAGGGTCAGGCTCAGTCAAAATGGAGACAATCGCTCTTCTTTCAAGGAGAGCTGCTCAGGTGGTCCTCCACATGCGCCACCACATCCAGAGCTGGCAAAGTAGGCAGGCGGTATGGGGGGTCGAACTGGAGACCTTGTGCTTGGCAGGCAGGTGCTTATGCCACTGAGCCATCTCCTCAGCCCTGGGTTCTCATAGAAGAGAAACAATGTGCTATGTAAAGTCGTGTGTCCAATTTCACTTATTATGATCTCAGGGTGAATGAATGTCTCCTCAGTTGGCTGTAGCTTATCCATCTTCATGGTACAGCAGCACTCGATTGTATGCACTACACTTCCTTTGTCCATTCATCTACTGACAGGGACTACAGGTTGCTTCCAAGCTGGGTGTGGTGGTACATACCCGTATCCCAGCACTCAGGTGGGTGAAACAGGAGGATCACTGTGAGTTCAAGGCCAGCCTGAGCTACACAGTGTGTTCAAAGCTAGCCTGAACTACACAGTGAGACCCTGTCTCAAAAGAAAAAAAAAAATTACGTTATTTTGGGTCACTGAATCAGTGGTTGCTTGTTACAGCATCCACAGGAAACTAATACAAGGGCCAAACAGACGTTCAGGACTGGAGTGAAAGAGTTGGGGGCTGACAGGGCTGACAGGGCTAGAGGTGACAGGCTTGGGGGCTGAGTGGCTCATTTGAATGGTCTCCAAACCTTGAGAGTTAGGCAAAAGATGCTTCAACCATCCCTCATCCTTAGGGCTAGGGTTAGTGGGACCTATGTGGCTTGGTGGACATAGGCTGGGAGGATCCCAGTAGATTCCCAAAACAAACAGTACAGCTAGATGTTAGAACCCTTTATTTCCAAATGGTACTGGGGGGGGACCTAGAGGGGTCTATGCAGGGCTCCCAGCCCCACCTCTATAGCTGCTGGGAGGGCCTGAGGATATATAGGAAGTGGGTCTTGCGGGCAGGCAGCCTGGAGTGGGAGGAGTCCTGGGCCCCATCTTCAAGGATGCCTTCGTGGGTCCCCTCTCGGAGCCCATCCCGGATGGCCTGCAGGCGGTGTTTCTTCTCGCTTAGCCAGCCACCATCCTCCTGAGCATCCTGATGGGACTTCCTCCGAGGTACCTTAATGATCCAGAAAGCCACACGGCGGTGGGCTTCTGGGTAGGAGCTGCCCATGCCATTTCCGGTGGGCACCAGGGTTTCCTTCTCCCTTTTGGGAACCTGGGGAGGAGGGGCAAGGAGATTAACTCACATATAGCACACCCTGCTAGCACACAGCTCACTTCACTGGACAGCTGACAGGGGGAGCTCAGGGGTTAAAAGGCTCTCTGAGGTTTACAACACACTGGGTTTGCAAATACTTTAGAATTAAAAGATACCGAGATTTATAGACTACTTTGGCATTGAAAATACATTGGGGGGTGTTTCAAAAGGCAGGTAAACAGAATTTTAGGGTTTATAATGCTTGTTGGATTACAAAGCACTTTAGGGTTAAACACTGAGGTTTAGAAGGTAGTTTGCAACGTACAAAGGGCTTTGGTATTAAAGGCTCTTGGGTTTACCAAAGACTCAACCATAAATGTAATGTGGGATCTTTGATCAAATCCAGGATAAAAATGGATTTTTTTTTAAAAAAGAATGTATTTAGTACAGATGTATGTAGTCTCACTACACAGATGCAGGATCCGTAGTGATTCTGTTTTTCAGCCTCCCAAGTGCTGGGATCACAGGCGTGCACCAGCACGCCCCACCACGCCTAGTCTCAGTTGCAGTCTCAGTGTGCCCCAGGCATGGGATGGCAGGCCAGGAATCAAACCTCCGGTTCTCTGTGTCTGCCTAAGCAGGCGCTTTAATCTGCTGAGCTATCTGGTTGGCCTGGACTTTTTTTTTTTTTTTTTTTTTTTGAGACAGGGTCTTGCTATGCAGTTCAGGCTGGTCCTGTGCTCACTTCTGTGGACCCCAAGCTGGTCTCAGACTCCTAGTGATCCTCCTGTCTCAATCTCCCGATTGCTGGGATTACGGGAGTATGCCAGAATGCCTGGTTCCAGGGTTCAAATGTGAGACCTTGTACTCTACAGGTAGGTGCTTATGCCTCTGAGCTATCTCCCCATCAAAAATGAAAACAGCTTTCAAGGACAGTCTTAAGTGGACAAATTTGATGGGGGACTGAATGTCCTCCTTGTCCTTGATACTCAAAGTGGGAGGCACAAAAATTATCATGTCCTACCCTGCCCAGCATCTGCACCTAACAAACCAAGATCTGAGAACCTTTGCAGGATAGATCATTAACCTCCCCAACTTTGTATGCTGGATACATTAGGATGCGACCTTGTTTGCGTTACTGTGGATTTAGTTAGGATGAAGTCTTAGTTTGGCCCTAATCTAACTGGTGTTCTCATGCAGATTGAAAATTTGGTCACAGAGGGCTGGCAAAATGGCTCAGCAGATTAAAGCACCTGCAAACAGGCACAGGGCAGGCTGAAATGGTGATTGAGACTGGGCTGGTGGCGTGTGCCTGTAATCCCAGCTCTTGGGAGGCTGTAAACAGGTGGATCACTAGGAGTACAATCTAGTAGTGAAACCCTGAACACCCTGTAAACCCTTCCCTAAAATACAAAAAAAAAAAAAAGAAAGAAAGAAAGAAAAAATTTGGTCACAGAAACACAGGGAGGGTGCTGGGCAGATGCAGGCAGAGGCAGGGAACAGATTCTACTGTGCAAACTGGTAGCCCCAGCACTCTGGGGTGCTGAGGCAGGAAGATTGCAAATTCCAGCCCAGTTTGGGCAACTGTGGTGGCACACAATTATAATCCCAGCTGTCTGGGAGGCTGAGCCAGGAGAATCAAAGTTTGAGTCTACTCTGGAGAATTTAGCAAGATCCTGTCTGAAAATTTAAAATAAAATTAAAAAGGGCTGGGGATATAGCTCAGTGTGAAGTTTCAGAGTTAAAGTACACATTTTGACATTTACATGAGAGTCCCCCCCCCCCCCGAACCAGGGATTGAACTCAGGCCCTTGCGCTTGCCAGGGAAGCGCTTATTCCACTGAGCCATCTCCCTGGTCCCAAGAGAGAATTTTAACAAAGATGTTGGGGTAGATTTTTTTCCCCCTTGGTACTGGGGATTGAACTCAGGATCCTGTGCTTGCCAGGCAAGTGCTTATTCTACTGAGCTATCTTCCTGGCCTGGGGTAGATTTTTTTAAGCGTTGGAGAACACATATTGTGAATACAAACATATCTTGAGGTTTGTGGGAGTGAGGTTTACAAAGCCCTTGAAAGTAAACCACATGGAGCTCACAAAACCCTCTGAGCACCAGGTGTGGTGGTGCGCCCCTGTAATCTCAGCACTTGGGAGGCTGAGGCAGGAAGATCATTGTGAGTTTCAGACCAGCCTGGCTACAAAGTGAGCTCAAGGCCAGCCAGGACTTCATGGAGAGATCCTGACTCAAGAAAGATAAAAAAACAAAATTGAACAAAAAACTCTACTCAGCACTTGAGGATATATTCTGAGGCTGTGCACCTTATCTCTGAGCTGGTTTGGCCCTTTTCAAATGAGAAAACTAAGGCCTCAAAACAGCAAGCTTTACCCAGAAAGAGTGGGAGGCTCAATTCCTCTCCCCTCCTTCTAAAGGACAGGAACAGCTGAGGCCTGGGTCCCTTAGGTTGTCCATGTCCTAACCTTCCGGTTGCTTTCCAGGTTTCCCTCTGGCTCCACGGAGGCCACCACCTTCTCAGAGATGAGCACCTCTCCTGTCTTGTTGTCTGTCACCTATTTGGATAGGGTGAGAAAGTGAGGACAAATCTATTTGGCTCCTGGGTGCTCCTCCCTGACAGAACCAACATGAAGTGTACAGGGGAGACAGCAAGCTAGGCTCCCCACAACTGCACCTTGTCAATCTGGAGATGGCTGGAGATGGTCTTGTTCCCCAGCTGGCGCTCCTGGTCTTGCTGTTGGTGGAAATCTCTGGGGAGGCCCCAGAAGTCCATGGGGGTGGAAAAGAAGCTGTCCAGACTCCGAAGGAGGTCATCCTAGGGCCCGAGGTGTGACGAGAGCTACTGGACCTCATCTCCCCAGATGCCCTGCAGGCGTTGGCCCAAGTCCCCCTCTTCCCCAAGCCTTATCTGTCCGGTCCTCAGCTCCACAGCCACCTCGCTGCTGTCCCTTTGTCTCTGCTGTTCCCATTCCTTCTCTCCTCACATGACCTCTTTGCTTCTTACCTTCTCTCTCTTCCTATCTTTTGCTGCCCTCTCTCCTTCTGCCTCCTCCTCTCCCACCATCACTTACTTTCAGGAAGAGTCTTCTGACGCTTTGGAGGAGGCTTTGTAAGCCAAGGAAATCGGAGGAACTCTCCTGGTCGTCAGCGTCTTGGATGGGGGCCGCAGACGAGGGAGGCACCAAGGCGCAGGGGACCAGCAGCACCAGGACCAGCAGATGCCACATGGCTAGACGGGGAGGCTGTGCCAAGATCGGGGTCAGGGTCCTGGTCTCCCAGGGCCCACACTCCCCTCGGGACACCTCTGTCCTGTCCCTGGCCCAGGCCCCGCCCGCGTCCACACAACTCCCCCAGCACCTAATCCCTTTCCACCCCTTCCATCCTGCGCAGCCCGCCCTGGTCCCAGATCACACCCATCTCAGGCCTAACCTCTGCCCACACCCCGCCTCTTCTTCTGAGCCGAGTCCTTAGGCTGGACCACAGCGCGGTCAACGGACTCCCTGACTCTCAGTCCACCGAGGACTGTTACAATCTAAACAGTTGTGTTCTCCCAGCCCACGCGAGATACCTGGAGCGTTAGAGGTGGCCACGCCCCATTGCCTGACCACGCCCACCGGCCACCTCATCCCGGAGCCTGGGCCTCTATTTCGTAGCCACGCCCCCCACAATTTGAGCCACGCCTCCATCCTCTCTGCGAGGCAAACCACAGCTCAACTTTTTTTTATGGCCTCCCCTCCTTCATTTGATCACGCCCCTTCTAGGTAATAGCCTTGGAGACGCAGTCCGCTGGGACCATATAGTCCTGCGCAAACCGTGTACAGCCTTGCCACTACATTTAAGGCCACACCCTTCTTTTTAGAACACGCCCCTAAACCTGCA